TTTTTTTTTTTTTTTAAATATTTATCATGCAACTTTATTGGCAGAAGGGCTGGTTTTTGATGGCTGGGTTTTTGTTTTTGTTTTCCAGTTTCTTAAGACATTACCATGGAAAATACTTAAACCTGCTTTATTTAGAGTCTAACAAGATGTCTCTATTTTTTTGTTGTTTCATTGTATCATTTTGCTTATTCTTTCCCTGTTGTATTTCCTGTCAATTGGTAGTTAAAACTAAGGATTAATAGACACCTTAGGCTAGTTGTTTTCAAATTGAATTCTACAGGTTTTTTTGTTTTGGAAATGTTTTGATTCATGGAAATTTAAGTTATTTTATATTTGTTAATTCTGAGTTAATGTGTAGATTTTTTTAACTTGTAAATTAATAACTTACTGAATGTAGAGATTATATTTTCAGGAAATACAGCCTAGTTCTCATTCCCTGATATTCTTTCTTTAATTGAATTTGAGGTAAAACATGAGACACTGTGTTTAGAAAAACTTTTTGCAAACTATGGTTAATACTATTGCTATTTAGGCTTACATAATTTAACTGTTCAACAGGTAATATTTTCATATCTCGGACTTCCATCCCAAATGCTGCCTCTGAAGAAGGAGATGAGGATGACTGGGTATCCAACAGAGTTGTGTTTAAAATAGGTAAGGAAGAAAGGTAACTAGAATGTTAGGTAAAAATTAAGCAAGAGACTGTTTTGATTGATTTGGTACTGGGGATTGAACGCAGGCCTCATGCATGCTAGGCAAGTGTTCTGTGTGCTACTGAGCTACATTCCAAGCCTTAGTTTTTTTTTTTTTTGTAGTGCTGGGTATTGAACTCAGGACTCAGGGACACTATCATTGAGCTATGTCCTAGCTCTTTTTTCTCATTCTTTGGAGATAGGGTCTCACTAAATTGCCCATTTTGGGCTCAAACTTTGAATCCCCTTGTCTCAGCCTACCTAAATGTTGGAATTACATGTATGTACCACGACACTTGGCTGATTTTAATTCTTTTTTTTTTTGTACCAGGAATCAAACTCAGGATCTCAAGCTTGCCAGGCAGGCACTGTTTGTTGAAACAGTTGACTCTGAAGTTCAGGCTGGTCTTTTTTCTCCCCGCCAGCCCCAGTGTTTTTGAGACAGGGTCTCGCTCTGCAGTTCGGGCTGGCCTTGAGCTCACTTTGTAGCCCAGGGTGGTCTCGAACTCACAACGATCCGCCTTCCTCAGCTCAGGCTGGTCTTGAACTAACTGTATAGACTAGGCTGGCCTCAATCTTGCAGCAATACACCTGCCTCAGGGTCCCAAGTGATAGGAATACAGGCCTGTGCCACCACAGCTGGCTTTGGTTTTAATTCTCTTTTTTCAGTAGTGGCAAAGTTTATTTGAAAAGTGAAAGTGAAGAATAGGGAGATAACTGGCTCTGCAGAGTGAGCGTGGGCTGAATAAAAGGAAAGAGAAAGATGAATGAACACCCTGGAGAAAGAAGCAAGGCACACAGTCATGAGGAAAGCCGTGATCACTTGGTTTACATTTTTTTTGCCTTTTTCTTTCTCTTTTGTTTCTTTTTCTGTCTGAGACAGGGTTTCACTATGCAGTGCAGGCTGACCTTGAACTCATAGCCGTTCTCCTGCCTCAGCCTCCTCCAGTGCTGGGATTACAGGCATGTGCAGTCACACCCAGTGGGTTTTAATTCTTGACTGTGCTTTTTTTCATTACTTTCAGGTGATCTTGGGCATGTAACAAGAATCTCTAGTCCACAAGTTGAAGAAGGTGATAGTCGTTTTCTTGCAAATGAAGTTTTACAGGAGGTAATTGTTCTTTACTAATACTTTTTTCCTAGGGCAAGAGCAGAACCACTGAAAGAGTATTACTTCTTTATTTGAACTATTTATCAGTTGACAGAATATATATTAAAATATATTGAAAATGTAATAACTAATAGTAATTCTAAGCCATCACCTGGGAGGATTACAGTTTATCAAAAGTGTGAAAGCAAAAATTTGCAATGGCATTATACAGAAGTTCCACATATTACTTGCAGAATTTTAAAATTGAAAGATCAAATCAAAATATCAGAATCCCCATATTTCAAAATTATGTAAGCCGGGCGTGGTGATGCACACCTGTAATCCCAGCACTGCCAGCACTTGGGAGGCTATGGCAAGAGGATGGCTGCAGATTCGAGGCCAGCCTGGGCTACAAAGTGAGTTTAAGGCCAGCCTGAACTGCGTAGTGAAACCCTGTCTCAAACAGTTAAGTAAATAAATAAACAAATAAATAAAAATAATTTTTTCTTCAACTCAGAATTTTTACTTCTGTGAGTCTTTTATAGAAATACTTTTTTTTTTTTTTTTTGGTCTTTTTGAGGCAAGGTCTCTCCGTGCAGTCTTAGGCTGGCCTTGACCTCACTTTGTAGCCCAGGCTGGTCTCGAACTCACAGCTGATCTTCCTGCCTCAGCCTCCCAAGTGAGATTACAGGCATGCTCCACCATGCCCGACTCATTTAGAAATACTAATATGTAAACAAATTAGGAACAATATGGTGATTAAATTATGGCACATGGTCTCAGATTATGACTGTTAGTTGATGAGAGATTTGAAATAAGAATAAACAAAACAACAATTATATGAACTCTTTGTTCACGTCTATGTCTGTTTTCTTATATATGTATTTACAATTTGGTGAGCTCATATAGACATATTTTATGTTTGCATACTAATCCCTAGAGGGATAGGAGTTTTCTTCAGAGGGTTGAACTGGGCTAATGATAAAGAGGAAGCTTCTACTTTATTTATTTATTTACTTACTTACTTATTTATTTATTAATAAATAATCTTTTTGAGACAGGGTCTCACTATGCAGTTCAGGCTGGCCTTGAGCTCACGTTGTAACCCAGGCTGGTTTCGAACTCCCAATGATCCTCCTGCCTCAGCCTCCCAAGTGCTGGGATTACAGGCGTGCAGCACCACACCAGGCTTCTACTTTTAGATATATATATTTAAATACCCCCTGCCCCAGGTGTTTACTTTGTATTTAAAGAATAAACTCCCTCAATCAGCAGCTTGTTCTCTGAATAGGTCCTTAAATGTGTCATTGAATGTTTAAATTTAGTCTGATTTCTTACCTAGTTATCATTGAGGTGTACTCTTGTTTTGACCATTTTTACATTGTCTTTTTAAAAGTTTCTTTTAAACCTTTTCAGAATTATACCCATCTGCCGAAAGCAGATATTTTTGCTCTCGCCCTCACCGTGGTTTGTGCTGCTGGTGCTGAGCCTCTTCCCAGAAACGGAGACCAATGGCATGAAATCAGACAGGGTAGATTACCTCGCATTCCACAAGTGCTTTCCCAGGAATTTACGGAATTGCTAAAAGTGAGCATTTTATATCTGAAGCATTTCATTGATACAGTTCAATACTTTATTATGTGTTTAATTTCATTTTTTAAAAAATTTTATTTGTTTAAGGTTATGATTCATCCAGATCCAGAGAGAAGGCCCTCAGCAATGGCACTAGTAAAGCATTCGGTATTGTTGTCTGCATCTAGAAAGAGTGCTGAACAGTTACGAATAGAGTTGAATGCTGAAAAGTTCAAAAATTCACTTTTGCAAAAGTAAGTGAAGTTTTTTGATCTGCTTTTTTTGCTTTCTCAATTCTGAATTTTTCAATTTTTTTTTTTGGTACTGGAAATTATTTTTTTTTTTGGTCTTTTTGAGACAGGGTCTCCTGTGCAGCTGAGGCTGGCCTTGAGCTCACTTTGTAGCCCAGGTGGTCTTGAACTCACAAGGATCCTTCTGCCTCAGCCTCCTGAGTGCTGGAATTACAGGTGTGTGCCACCATGCCTGGCCTTGTACTGGGAATTAAACTCAGGACCTTGTGCTTGCCAGACAGGTGCTGTGCCTCTGAGCTACCTCCCTGGCCCTAATTCTCAAATTTTTTTTTTTTTTTTTGGTTTTTTCTCTGGTACTGGGAACTGAACTCACGACCTTGTGCTTGCCAGGCAGGCACTTTGCCGCTGAGCTAAATCCCCAGCCCCAATTCTCAAATTTTAATGAGAATATTTAAAGGCTTTCTGTCAACAAAGGATTTGGTAGTTTATTATACTTACACAATGAAAATTTGTGGACTTTGCCTTAAATTAGTATTTGAACTATTCTGTTAAGTTTGTGTTATTACTAAACTTTGAAATTATAAACTTCGAAAGTGTTAAGATTAAGCTAGGTATGGGGCTGGGGATATAGCTCAGTGGCACAGCATGAGTTTGATTCCCAGTACCAGAAAAAAAACCAACAACAAGAAAAAAAAGAAAGATAAAGCTGGGTGTGGTAGCACTTACGTATAATTCCAGCACTGAGTAGGCTGAGATGGGAGAATTGAAAGTTCAAATCCTGTCTAGGCAAGTAGACCAAAAACTGTCTCAAAATGAAAAATAAATTTTAAAAGACCTAGGATGGGAGCTGGGGATTTAGCTCAGCTGCACAGCGCCTGCCTGGCAAATGCAACGTTGTGAGTTCGATTCCCGGTACCGGAAAAACAAAAAACAAAAAAAAAGATACAGGATGTAGTTTATTGGTAGTTTAACCTGGATTCAGTTGTCTAGTACCACCACTAAAAAAACATGTTTCTTCAAAAAGGGGGGAATAGCTGGGCATGGTGGTTCACGCCGGTAATCCCAGCACTCAGGAGGCTGAGTCAGGAGGATCATTGCAAGTTCTTGACCAGCCTGGGCTACAAAGTGAGCTCAGGGCCAGCCTGAACTGCAGAGCAAGACCCTGTCTCAAAATGACAAAACAGAAAGGGGAAAATATTGGAGAATATTGTTGATCACAACACATTTCTTTCTTTTTGCGGGGTGAGATGTCTGGCATTGAACTCAGGGCCTTACACTTGCCAGGTAGGCACTGTGCATCTGAGCTACATCCCTGACGCTTAATCACAACACATTGGGCTGGGGATTTAGCTCAGCAGCACAGTGCCTGCCTGGCAAGCACGAGATCGTGAGTTCGATTCCCGGTACTGGAAAAAAACAAACAAAAAAAAAAACCACAGAAAAACAAAAAAACACAACACATTGTTAATTGGTTTATTTCCTACCTTCTTTGAGTCTAATAAAAGTGACTTGAAAGGGCTTGATATTAAATATTCAGATTTAATATTTAAATTACAAGAATTGCCAGGGGGGGCTGGGGATTTAGCTCAGTGCAAAGCGCCTGCCTGGCAAGTGCAAGGTCGTGAGTTCGGTTCCTGGTACCGAATTGCCAGGGATATAGCTCAGTGGCACAGCGCCTGCCTGGCAAGCATGAGGCCTTGAGTTCGATTCCCAGTATCAAAAATAAATACAGAATTTTGTGCTAATTAAAGGTTTATGTGTTACTAGCTGTGTCCATTATAGTTTATACAAATACGGAGATTTTCTTTCATCTCCTGTGTAAATTAGTTTTACATGAAATTATTTTAAGACCCAAAGTCATTACTTGTACTAACATTTGTTTTCTCCTTGTAATATTTTGTAATGTAAGTGAATGTAATATTTTCATTATAAAAGCATGGAATAAAACACAATTTTTTTTTTTTTTTTTTTTGGGTGCCAGGAATTGTACTCATGACCTTGTGCTTGCCAGGCAGGTGCTTATGCCACTGAGCTATATCCCTGGCCCATAAAACACAAATTTAAGTTGAGTAGAAGCTAAAATTTCAGGTTCTGTTTTTCCTTTCGTCAGTTGTATCTTAGAATAATAATGGTATGTGAATATCTCCCAGTTGGTAATACACTTTGTGCTTGGTGTCTGAGAGTTTCTCCTGGGATTAGTATAGAGGGTTAAAAGTCTTCTTTCATATTTTCATGTTCTCAGAGAACTCAAGAAAGCTCAGATGGCAAAAGCTGCAGCTGAGGAAAGAGCACTCTTCACTGACCGGATGGCCACTAGATCCACCACCCAGAGTAATAGAACCTCTCGACTTATTGGGAAGAAAATGAACCGCTCTGTCAGCCTTACTATATACTGAACTCATTTCCCATCTCCCCCAAAAACTGTGACAAGAGGAAGCTAGGTTGAAATCACTGCTAGAGTCTACTTTGCAATTAATTTCTTGATTGGTCTCAGTAGTTTTACTGAAGTACCTTTTAGGATTTTTATTTGTGAATTACAGTTGGAAGCTGTATTTTGACCATTGCTATATCAGGCTTTGTCTAGTCTTACCAGTCTGTCTCACTGTTGGACATTACACCAAGCCTTTGCAGGGTTAACCACTGTGGTGGTGTGCTGCTTACAGTTTGTTGTTTGTTGCATAGTAAAAAAAAAAAAAAAAAAAAAAAAAAATCCCTGTAGTGACCTGTATAAGGGCTCCAGGGCTTTATTACAAACATACTCTCCCTTCATGAAAGGGAAATGTTGAAAGACTTAATACTACTTAGCCTCTGATGTACCTGTGTGTCGATCCTATATTTCTGTTTTTTTGTTTTTGTTTTGTTTTCAATTGTGAATTGTACTTGTATATCCAACTGGGAGCACTTTGTAGGCATTGCATGAACCATGGAGTAATTCTGTGGAAGTATTGCCTTGTGAATTTGCTGCTATTTTAGTTTTGTCTTTGCTGTAAAATTGTAGCATTAAACAATCATCATTGTTAATAGGCTTTCTTTTGAAACAATTATGTGAAATATACGGCTGCTCTTTGAAAAGCAGCTATTTGCCTATTTTTCCTCTTTGAATCTTTGAAGCTAGTGCATTGAAAAAATGCACCTCTCCCCCTTTGGAATGCTGTATTAATGTAGTATAATTATTACTGGTTTTATAATTTTCTTTCTGATAATGTCCTTCTTGACTTTTAAAAAAATGTCTTCTCCCAAGTATGGTTAGTCTGTTTTTAAATATTTTGCCTGATTTCTCCTTATTTTTGTACATAAACTGATGGTAATACTGTACATAGCTGTTTGCAGTGCCAGAATGACTTCTGACTGTTCCAGGTTTTTCAAAATATCTTTTATTTGTTATTAGCCATTTGACTGATAATACTGGCTAATATATTTTGAAAAAAATATTGTCTTTTGTTATCTCAATTTTGGCCTAAAACATGTTTGCACTTGTCTGTTTGACTTGTGTCTTATGAACATTGATTGGCATATTAAAAGTCACTCTGAGCTTACCTTAACTGTGTAACTCTTACAGTGCCTATTTTCTACTACTTTGTGTTCACTACGTTACAAACTGCAGAGTGTAATGTACATAAAGTACTAAGTGCATATGGTTAATGAAATACAAAACTTAGTGGCTGTTTAATGGTGGGCTTTAGTCCACATTAATTAGATTTGGGGGTTTCTGAAACACTTGTCTACTCTGTGGTGGTGCCCACTCCTCTAATCCCAGCACACAGGAGGCCACAGTAGAAGGGTTGCTAAGGATGTGGGGCCAGCCTGGCCTCTACGTAGTAAGAGATGCTGTCTGAAAAAAATGAAAATGAAAAGTTGTATCAAGTTTGTTTTGTTTTGTTCTGTTTTTCCGGTACTGGGAATCGAACTCTCAACCTTGCACTTGCCAGGCAGGCGCTGTGCCACTGAGCCGAATCTCCAGCCCAGTTTTATCAACTTTGAATGATTTTACCATTTAAGACATTTTTATATTACATTGCATATTATGCATGTTTTGCTAGAGATGTATGATGTTAAATTGGTTATCAAATACATATATTACAGCTATCAAATGAATAAAATAGATTAATTCATGACTTGCTGATTTGAGCTGAGTTACAGAAGAGTTTTGAAATGAGGGAGGTTTTAATTCACAGTAATAGTTGGCTTTTACGAACTAGGAGTAGAAATGGAGGTGATAGTGCTTATTTTTCGTTCCCCTGACAGAACCAGAGTAACCAGCGAAGACTTGAGCATGGACATGGCAGGTGTTGGAGCACGACTGTGCTTTTGATCACAGATATATCATCAGTATCTAGTCAGCTCTACTTCTGCCTTTTTTTTCCTTTTTTGTTGGTGATGGTACTGAGAATTGAACCCAGTGCCTTCCCATTGAAATACATACCTACCTCCCCCCACTTTTTATTTCTGAGACAGGATCTCACTAAGTCGCCCCAGTTTTCGTTAAACTTGTCATCCTCCTACCTCAGCCTCAGAATGCTCGGACTACAGGAGTGTACCGCCACATCCTGCTCAGTGTCAATATTCCTAACAATCTTGATTTTTTTTTATTTAAGATATAAGAAATTTGTGCATGCTAGTAAGTTACATTAAAGGCTGGTGGCTGTTCCTGAGAGAAACCCTAAAAAGCTGAATGGGTGGAATAACTTACATACTTCTGTAGCTTTTAAGGACGAAGTATATATAGAAAGTATGATCATGTGTATCAGATGTGATTGTTCTCACTAAGGTACATTTTTCTAGTGCACTAGCTTCAAAGAAAAATTCAGGTGTTTTTCATTAGGATTTGTAGTGAATTTTTCACAGACTCACATGAAAGAAAACAGTCTGGTATTTGGTGTTGAAAGAGAATTCTTAAGCCATCTGGAAGCTGATAGGGGAAGTTGGCCCATATTCAATAGGAGATAATTAGTGTGGTGCCTTTGCGCTAACTGGTAGCCAGAGGCCAGTATGAAATAGTCTTTGTTCACTAGGAGCTTGAGATGAGATGGAGAAGACTTGAATAAGTATATAGTGACAGTAAACAGTGCTGTTTCAGAGGGATTGGGCACGGCCGAATGATAGTTCCAAGCACTGTAAGTGTCTTGGGAAGATGATGGTAGGCTGGAGAAGTTCTAAAGTGGCTGGAGATTTATTAAATGGGGACATTGAGCTTTGAATGGTTTTGTTTTTATAACAAAGAATGAGAACTTGTTAGGATAACATCTGTTTGGGGAAACAAGTGCTAAAATGCATTGAATAATCTTAGAAAAAAAAAAAACTTAAGATGTATAGAGGTTTGTTCATAGGTAAAAGTACACTTTTTTGGACAGCTGACTTAACGAAAGCATGTAGGTCGGAGGAATTACATTTAGCTGTACATTGAAACTCGCCTTACCTTGTCATGAACTCAATAGGAATAACCTTTTAATGAACTAATTAATGTTTTTGGAACAGCAAATTCTCAAGCTTTGACTTTGACTCTACTTTGTTCCAGAGGTGAAGAAATTAACAACTGGGTTTGGGTAATAGCTTCAGTGTTTGAGGATGTCTCCTCTAATTTTTTTTTCCCTGCTGTATTGGGTGTTGAATTCCAGGCCCTTGCACTGAGCTACATCCCCAGCCCCTCATATATTTTAAGACAGGGTTTCACTAAATTGCTCTGGCTAGATTCAAACTTGTAATCTTGCTGCTTCAGCTTCCCAGAGTGCTGGGCTTATAGGCATGCACAATCACGCCCAGTTTATTATTTTTTTTTTTTTGGTTTTTCTCCGGTACCAGGAACCAAACTCACGACCTTGCGCTTGCCAGGCAAGCGCTTTTGCCGCTGAGCTAAATCCCCAGCCTCCCAGTTTATCTCTTAATTCAGCAGCAGCATTCTGACACCAATTTTTCTTCCTCCCCAATTCATCTCCACAAATCATCTCCCTGACTTTAGCTAACAGATGAAATAAATTGTTCCATCCTTAAGGCATCTTTGTGGGATTTTCATTTATTTATTTATTTAGTTACTTATGGTACCAGGATGAACTCAGGACCTCACGCTTACCAGGCAGGTGCTGTGCCACTGAGCTAAATCCCCAGTCGTGGACTCTTTCATTGTTGTTGTTGTTAGTACTGGGGATTGAGCCTAGGGCCTTTCTTTGAACTATATTACTAGCCATTTTTTATTTTATTTTTAGACTGGGTCTCAATAAATTGCACAGGCTGGGCTTGAATTTGTAAACTTCCTGCCTTAACCTCCCAAAGGATTGGGATTACAGGCATGTGTTACCATGCCTGGCTCCCAGCTCTTTATTTTGAGAAAGGGTCTAACTAAATTGCCCAAACTGGCCTAGAATTTGCAATCTTTCTGTCTCAGCCTCCCCAGTACCTGGGATTGCAGGCGTCCCTACCATGCCCAGCTTTACTTGTGAGCTTTCTGAAAGCATTTAAAGCAATCGTCAAAGATGGACCAAATGATGTAGAAATGTTTTGAATATTGTGAAACTCAAACCTGGAACTAGGAATTTGGAAGAAATTGCTTCATTTAGTATTTCTGAAGACATTTGTAGAAGTAAAAAACATCACTGAAACTGATACTGCAGAGTGACTAGATTTAGAAATTACTCTTGCAAACCTAGTTTTATCGTTAGGGAAGTGTCTCAGAGCTCCGCCAAGTAGATTTTTATAAAAATGGAAGAGTAAGATGCTGAAATTGTCTCCCAGCGTTTCACTTTCAAGAACTTTGAGAGGCACTCACGTGAACATCATTGAACTTTTTTTTTTTTTTCCTTTGTAGCAGATGTCCCTACTTTTTAATACAGTTCAGAGGTCTCGAAAGGAAAAATATTTATGTATGCTCTAGGAAGATTTACCAGAAGATGGCATGCTCTGTCCAAATTGCACTCAACCAAGAGTCTTAAGAAACTTTGGCCAGTCTACCCCTTGAAGAAAAATACGTCAAAGGACAAACTATTTATATCATAGTTTATATTGTTTCCTTTTATGTGGTCAATAAAAATTTTGAAGAGCGTATATTGTTTTGAGTTCTGACATTCTTAGGCTATGAAGCTGGTTTCCAGGCTGGATTTTCAGTTTATGCCTACCCATCCATCATGCCAATGGAAAATACAGGTTCAATGTAGAATGACTTGTCTGGGCTGGGGATTTAGTTCACCGTCACAAGCCCCTGCCTGGCAAGCACAAGGTCCTGAGTTCAATTCCTGGTACAAAAAAAAAAAAAAAAAAAAAGATTTAGGATCATTATCTAGAGGACTCTCCTGTGAGGTGAGACAATGAGGCTCAAGGGGGTTCTACAACCTTGGAGCAGGAACTCAGCTTAGTTCAAACAGAACCGGAATTCCACCTCAGATCTTACTGGAAAGAATTATGCTGCTTCTAGCATGAAAACTGAACACAAATACTAATTTAAGGACAAAGAAGAGTAAGGTAGAGCAATGTGAAAATTAGGACAATGGGGGGATTTCACATCATGGACACCAAGAGAGAAGTTTAAAGGAGAAACTGATTAACTAACAGGATTAGACGCAGCAGAGAGAGTTCATTAGGAGAATTGATGTGCAGGACCAGTGGGGGCGCAACTGGCCAAGGGTTGGGGTGTACAGGACGCTGCAAGTAGAGACTGCAAGTTCGCATCATTTCTGGGCAGTGTGGCTGAAGAAGGGAAGAGGAGGAGGCTAGAGCTATTCGGGAATCTTTAGCATTTTGTTGGATGCACTTATGTGCCAAGTGTTTTACAAATGTCCTCATTATTACCAGCTTAGCTGTGTTAGAATGTCTAGAACATTTCCTTTTATTCAGCAAGTTGGCAAATGGAAAATCATTTCTAATCCTGTTTTCCCCTGTAAGGTCCTGAGTGACAAGTATCACTAGGTACAAAGTGTATGTCATGACATTTAGTCTTTTTTTTTTTTTTGTCTTTTTGAGACAAGGCTCTCTGCTATGCAGTTCAGGCTGGCCTTGCTCTCACTTTGTAGCCCAGGCTGGTCTCGAACTCACAACGATCCTCCTGCCTCAGCCTCCCCAGTGCTGGGATTACAGGCATGCGCCAACATGCGTGGTAGACATTTAGTCTTTATAAGAACTCTGTGGGGAAGCTGGAGATTTAGCTCAGTGGCAAAGTGCTTGCCTGGCAAGCGCAAGGTCGTGAGTTCAATTCCTGGTACCGGAAGAAAAAAACAACAACAAGAACTCTATGGGGAGGGTGGAAATCTCATTCTATATGTGGATTTCCCAGGTTAGTATCAAGATTCAGATCTGCTGACCTGAAGCCAGCCTAATGCACATCATGCCCTCTGGGATCAGGGCGGAGAAGAAAGGAGAGGGGATGAGACAAGTTTGGAAGTGTTCCAGGGAATGCAGGAAGGGAGGGGGCGCCAGCATGAGGCCCCTTTGAAGTCAGGATGAGTTTCCAGTACTGGGAAGTGCCACAGGGCCCTGAGGACAGCTGCACAAGTGTGGCAGGGTGCCCTGTCACTCGCTGGCTTCTTTCCTGCTGAAGGAAGTAGTTAGAAATCTTTCA